TGAACGGAAAACGTCCTCGGGGATTGCTCCTTTTCTTCGTACAATCATGGTCACTACAGCTCTCCTTAGACCTCTTTTGTAGGCCGTTTCCCATATGTGATTTTGCAGGTACTTGTACTTGAGCGTGGATTTGATCAAAGGCTCTGCAGTCCTTGGCACGCAAAGTACTACGCTTTTGGTTTGATGGGCACCTACATTAGGCCCTCTTTCAGCTGGGTTCATCACCCGGATAGGTCTATTGGGGGCGACTATTATACGCCCCTGAGTTAGATCCTCGATTCTTAAAGCTATTAATAGCAGAAAATCGCTTATATTTGTTTTCAGAAACGCCACTATTGGAGGCTTTGGGTCCCGTGAGCTATCCTCCCTCCACAGTCCAATTCTATGGTATTTGGTGTATGGGGTGTTCGAGAGCAACCATGCTAGTGTAAATATGTCTTCCACATGGCGATGCTCAGCTGCTCGCCTCGCCTCCGCCATGTTTATAACCGGCTCCGCGCAATTTCGCAGAAGCAAATTCTTATTCCTTACTAAAGAAACTTCACTGCTTTTTTCAGCAACTGAATCTCTCTCTACCTGCTCAATCCGTTGTAACATCTCCCGGCAGTTAGGCTGAACCTCCGGTTTAACCACAGTCTTCGTAGCCTTCAAAGCCCCATGGTTTGTGGTTTGACCTCCCTGTTTCGGATTCCCACCGCTCTTGTTAGTGGGTTATTTCTTTGGGGGAGGGGGTGACATAGAAGTAAACCCTTCAGTTTCTCTTTGTTGTCCTTATCCTGATGAGCCACTGCTGCCTTCGGAAATTAACTTCAATATTGCGATCCCTCTATAATAATAGCCGAAGCCGAATCTGAGCTTACGGCATTTTTTTCACCCGAGTTCATGGAAAGTGGTGTTCGACAGGGTTGCCCTCTCTCTCCGTTTCTATTCAACTTTGTTATAGATTTCATTCTTGAAACAGCCCTGTCCTCGTGCGGCGATAGCGGCATGGATTTCCTCCCAGGTGGCAGACTGTCTGATCTAGAGTATGCAGACGATGTTGTGCTACTAAGTGAAGATTCAGGTAAGTTGCAAGCTTTTCTGGGTAGTTTGAGTGCTTTTGTGTCCATGTTCGATATGTTTTGCACCTTCAAAGTGTAAAATGTGTTTGCAAGATTGGGTTGACCCAGCACCCAGTTTCTCCCTAACTGGAGAAGTAGAAGAGAAAGTAGACAAGTTTTGCTATCTGGGCTGCTATATCTCACCTGGCGAACGCATCACAAATGAAGTGTCGGCGCGCATACAGAAGGCTCGGTTGGCATTTGCCAAATTGTGACATCTGTGGCGCCGTCGCGACATCCGGCTGTCCGTGAAGTATATGCTGCAGCAGTTCGGCCAGTTCTGCTTTACAGTGCAGAAACTTGGCCATTAAGAAAACAGGATAAAAATAGATTGTCGGTGTTCGAACACCGCTGTCAGCGTCGCAGTGCATGGATCTGGTGGGGAAACCGGACGAGCAATGCTGAGGTTAGGCGTAGCGTTACAGTAGTCGCGGGTGTAACACCAGGATCTCCATCAATTAAAATTCTAGTCCAACAGAGAATCACAACCAGACATGACCACACTGTGGCTTACCAATACTTTCAACCTAACGAAAAAAAGGATGAGTTAAAGTGGTGCCTCCAAAACAGAAAAACAGTGACCGTCAGGGAATCGTGGATGCGACGGGAACAAGTCGCCACAAGGACGAGGGACTAGACAATGTGCCGACGAGAAAGATATACAACAGACAAGGAACCTTTCGTTGAGATTCTCCACACGAGGAGATGTGAGGTGGCTTGTCGATACAGGCGGTGTGAAAGCTAGAAAGTCTAGTAATAACACTAGACTTTAAACGAAGTGTATATGGATTCAAAACAATCAGTTGCATAGAATTGGCAAATGTGCCATAACATATGTAGAAAAAAATGTGAAAACGCTTCAAATACAAAATCACCGAATAAGTATCTCCCAATAGGTGCGCCATTGATGATAGTTGCATTCCGCCTTTGACTGCGCGAAATAATTCGTTGAATTCCCAGTTCCGACATCTATTTCGGCATAAGTCTTGTGTTACTAATGCTTGGTTTGGGGAAGTTTCTGACGTACGAAGTAACCGACTGCAATTGTCTATTCTCATTACTCCGATTCGATAGTCATCAAGTAGCATATTTGTAATCATATGAACAAACGATGATAGACTAGTTACCTAAATCTGGATGGCTCCTTGCACCCTAGCGGTTAACGAGTAGTAGTATAAGATAATTCACAGCACCCAGTGTGCGGTGACACTTACATAGGAAAAACGGAAAAGGAATTACGTAATCCGCTTTTAGGGCACATTCCGAACAGGGTTCAATGTAAGATTGCCACGTCAAAGTCCACACAGCCGGTAACCGGTATGTACCGTGTTTACAAAGCACCAAGTTTATCGATTGGCAGACAATTGTTTATGACGCAACACCTCGTCAATCGCAAGCATTTTGGGTAGTAATAAAATCAGAATGCTCAAAATCGCTGAGGCTATTGAAGTCAACCAATGGAAAACTGTTCTGTTCCAACAAAAGGACTTGTTCATCACCTTGGCTTTGTCTTGGTAGCTCTTTCCCCCATTAACGTTTGTCCATTCCCAAGCTGCATATAAACATTGTATTTGTCTGCAGCTAGCACCAGCTGAGATTCAGCGAAGTCGTCCAGGACATAAATCGTGCAATGTTGCCATGCTGGCTTCTCTTTTCAAATTTATCACGGAAAAAGCTCTTTCCAAATTTTGTTCAAAATAACGCTTACGACGATATACCCTGTAAAATACTGTCCATATTTTAATTTTCTAATGCTTATCTTTGTCCTGCTTTCCGTTTTCAGCAGATCGAACTCACGCTTATTTCGTTATGAGATGGAATTCTTCGCTAGTCAATTAAGTTCGTGATCAAGATTGTCTGGATTTTTTTCAAACGGTTCTATCTTGTCCAGTGTCCAAGTGAATGCGTATCATACGATTTGATGGTGATCTTTTTAAGAAAACAATCAATGAAATTGTCAAAGTGACAGAACTACAAGGAGTTCCAGTATGTTTCACTGCATATAGTCTTATTGTTTGATTATAGTGGACCAGATTTCATGAGTTGAATCGCCTTTTGAAAGGCTTCCGCTCACACGAGATGACCGTACTGTCTGGTCACACGGGTGTTGGTAAAACCACATTTCTGTGCGAGTATTCCCTCGATTTGGCCGAGAGCGGTGTGAATACGATGTGGGGCAGTTTTGAAATGCCTCTTCGCAAACTTTGTCGCACACTGATTCACCAATATGCAGGGTAGTTTTTTCTCTCATTGAATTCACTTCCCATATTGAAATTCGCTTTCTAGTGAGGTGCTTTCCCCATCAGCTCCAGATCGTGTTTTCAATTGGGCGTCAATGTTCACTCAGAAAGTACCTATGTGTTTTATGAATTTCCACGGATCACAATCAGAAGCAGACGTTTTCAAAGTAAGCTTTTCGTGCACCCGTTCCGTATTAATTCAGCTGTTTCAAGTTAAAGACAATGCTCCCTTACTATCAACCACACTCATTTTCCTGTTATTTTTGACCATACTCACAACGTCTCACTTTTTGATTGTTCGCTTCTCAATTAAACAATCGAACATACTTTGAATGTATAACGCAAGCCATACAGTCGCTTGTTTTTACTTCCGAGAGTCGTATCCTTCTTTTCGCATGCACAGTTTAGACATTGTCCTAATAGTTCCATGGCAAACTTAAATCCAGCCTCGATTGTCGTATTTGTCATCTGCAGCTCTGCTGTCGTCCGGTTCAATACCACGCCTAAACCTATGCGGTTCGTCACTCCAAGTCCCGGGCTTAGGTTACCGGTTTCCACCACTGCGTAGCAGGTCCTCGTGACTATGGGGTTCGCCCCGTCTGCTGTAATAAAACAAAATAAAAGCCCAAAGCGGTGTTCTCGTCGTTGATCAATAAGGGAACCAGTCAGTAAATCATCCCGATAATCAGTCAATCCTCAGATGGACAAAAAGGGCTTTGAACAGGCAAGTCAGAAGACAAACACTGCGAGAGGAATTTCTTTCGTATACTCTCATTGGTCGCGTAAGTATAAGGTCTAACAAGATAGACAAATGAAGCAAATTAAGAAATATAATTAGTATTAACCATGTGTGTGTGATTGTGTACAGTGATGCACGTGATTGGTTACAACCAGGGAAGGCCAAGGGTAAAGGTCACACGTTTTTGGATGTACAATGTGGGTTTGTTGTGAGCGATCGATAATGCCTCCAGTATCCTTAGTCGGTGTCTCGATGACGTAACAAAACGTGCATCACACACACATGGTTAATACTAACTAGATTTCTTAATTCGCTTCATTTGTATATCTTGTTCGATGTTATACGTACGCTACCGATAAGAGTATACGAAAGGAATTCCTCTCGCAGTGTTTGTTTTCTGACTTGCCTGTTCGAATTCATTACGAGATCCAAATGTTTCAGTTTTTTGAAAAAGGGCTTTATTATTTATTGACTTGAAAAATATTCCTCAGAAATACAGGATCATTTTCACTGTTCCTACCATTCGTCGGTGTTGTGTATCCGAAAGCCTCGGTATGGTCGGGATGAGTGTCTTGAGTTGTGGTTGGTCACCCCTCCGTTTTACCTCACACAGACAGTCTGGACTCAGACATATGTACACTATACTATCCGGTTGTGTTTTGTGAAGTTTTTCCTGAACCCGTGCCTCTCTGCCGATACACAGTTAAACCCTGAATATATCATGCTCGTACAATTGGTTCACTTCGAACGATTTAGTGGACATCACCAAAATCTATCCCTCGAAAACAAATGTTAACTCACATTTGACTCCTCAGGAAAAGCTTATCAAATCCGAGATGCACTCACCAAATGATCAGTTGCACGTTATTCGCCCCAAAAAAACAATTTATATCAATAAGTGATTCGTAAGTTGTACGTTACACCAAAATACGGTAAAACGATTTGAAACGTTCAATGACACACTAACAAACGGATCCGTGATAGAAAAGATTCGAAGTTGAAACAGTACATTTCACTCGACTAATAATTGCGGTACTTGAGTTTTTATGGAAAAAAACTTCGAATGAAGTGCAACAAGGGAAGAGTGTAAATGAGAGAACAAGATTACTACCAGTGCAGTACAGTTTTCACAACCATTAGTCATGCGCTTTCGTGCAGCGGTTTTCGTTGATGTCTCATCATTGCCTGTTTGGATGAAGGAGTAAAAGGAGGATTGGAATGTTTAACTCAGTGTTAGGGGAGAATTCGCAAGGACTACGGTTGTAAGGACATTTAGTTGATGCATGAGAGCCACCATCAAGCCTTCTGTATGCCTGTTGACACTTCATCCGTAAAGGCATCCATGGGGTGCGATATGGCTGCCCAAATAGCAAACGTGTCCACTTACTCTGTTACTTCCCAGTTCGAGTGAGGCTGGGTACTCAACCAATCCAGTCCTGTAGCAATATTTTACACTTTGAAGGTTCAAAACGCATATCGAGCTCACCATAAGTAAGATTGTGTTAGGGAGTGGGCCTGTTTGGGGGAGGCGAAGAGTCCAGCCTTGGCGAGGTGTGTTGTTTCAACCATGAGATGTAAAACTGTGCCGTGGATAACTTCCTCGATATTCGCACTGTTCAATTTTTTCTTTCAATAAATATCAGAGATCACTGAGTGAAAATCGAACAGAAAAATGATTGGTCTGTAAACGCAGTTAAATATCTGTTTCAGTATTTTACTCTGTTTGCATATATTGCCGTTAATTCCATCTATGTTGATATTATTATTTGCTCTGGCGATCTGTACAGTTTTCATACAGTCATGTAGTCATGAATTTCAAAGGCATCTCTTCAGTACCTATTACATAATTTTGAAACTGTAACGCAGGGTTTAGCAACAATTATCTGAAATAATGGTTCGATGGTTTTCACCATGAAAAGCGCTCTTTTTTATCACCTTGTCATAGTAAGTGCTCCTTTCCACATTGAAAGCACAGTGTTGTAGACGAAACAAGATCTGCTTCCTTTGATAGTTCAGTAACTGGCAATTTTCATCTTTTTTATTACACTCAAAGTGATTTACTGCAAAATGGAGAAAGCCCCGTAAACAAAGACTTGCTATAAAAGGGGCGGTATTGGGAGAAGGTGGGTCTTCCGATGAGAACCAATTTGTTGAGGCTGGTTTTAAAGAGTGATAAGTTATAAGTTGTTGGAAACCTGGAACTAGAAAGGATCTTCCACAATGTTACAGTTACTAAAAAAGAATGAAAAATAGAATTTGGATATCTGGTGTAACCCTATGCGAAGACGAGTCCAAGGTGGGAGGCGAGTTGTGCACTGGTGGTGGCATTGTGATCTCGATCGATTTTAGTAGAGTAACCCGTTGTAAGGAATAACATAATAGAAAGTGGCGCCATCAGTGAATAAGATTTGGGATCTTAGGTAAAAGACTAATAATAAATAACAGGCGGACGGTGGACGCCAGTATTACACTATGGGAAATACCAGCGTTCTCCGGGTAAGTTCGAGATACGACCCCCATCTAGTGGTACACTTGTTGAAGAAACATCGGAGACACTATACAGGGCTTACGTGAGGTCAGATCGGGGGTCATTTAACAGTAGATTTTCGCATTAAACTCGGTTGAAAGCAAACAAAACCTGTTGAGTTTCCCTGTGGTTATCGAGTTCAGTTGACCAGTAGTAGTATCCATTGACGGTCATTCATAAAACTTTTGTACTCGAGAAACGTGCCCATTTATTCAGAGTTGTGGTTTTTCAAAAAAGTTAGAAATAACAAGAGCGAGAGTGATGAAATGTTATCTGTTGGGATCGAAAGTTTTCCCGCTTTACCTTCAGAAAAATAATTGTTTTTCCAGAGTATGTGGAAATGATTACAGATAAATGAGGAGCGGACAAGACAATCTTGTATCTGAGATGTACCGGAATGATATCTAGTGGCGCACAGATACGAACCCAAAGTACAATTCCAAATAGTGAGAGATCTGTAGTCTGGGTGTATTATAAAAGCGAACAATATACAAGCAAGAGAGCATGTCTCAACTTGTTGGACTATGCGGTATATGTAAGTATACAAGCAGTTCTCACAAACTCAAGCAGCAACATTCGTGAAGTGGTATACGAAAGGAATCCAATAGAGCGTTCATTTAGGAACAAGGATCACCAATCGCAGCTCATCAGCCAACACTAGTCAACACAGAAGTTAGCTCAGTGTCACGGTCCTAAGAGAACAAAGTGGAACAATAAAACAATCGGGTTAGCAAACGGGTGGCCGGTTACCACGAGAATCACAAGAATACTGGACAATGGGATACATGTAAAGAACATGTCGTGGAATGGTTAAGCGATCTAGGCCAGCGAGGGGAGAGAGAGAGCGGTTTATGGCATATGAAAATGCAGTTCCACGACGGCCTTCATGGGAATAAGAAATGCCCATTGACATGGCTTATGATAAAAAAGGTGATAGACAGCACTGATCACAATGCTCGGGAAAGTGCATCAAAAAGGTCTAGTTATCTTGTGGTAAATCGTAGAACGAATGTGTGTGACAAGCTGCTGTAAATGGTGCCTTGGGAGATCAATTTTTCCAGATGGTAAATTAACCTCCAGAACGGCGTAACGGAGATAGATAGATAACCGTGCACGTGGTACTTGTTTGACCCTATATCATCTCTCCTCGTATTTTAGGACGTTCCTATCATGAATAATGCATTTAGGTTTTACATGCGTCGAATATGACCGTTAATTTATCGTTTATTGCCGCCCTTGACATCCACGATCTTACGCGCGCTATCAGCTGACCCATTAAAAAAACGTAAATATGCTGCATCTACTGTCGTATAACGAGTAGTAAACATAGCAATGAGAAATTAACATTGCGCACTATTTGTCGCTAATCAATTGGGATTCATTCAAGTGCGAAAAGGTAACATTTCGATTTATATGGCCACTTTTCTTTCCGAGGTGACATTAATCGCTATAAAAATCCAGTTTCCAACCAATCGACT